TTGTTCTTTGGTTTAGGAAGTACCCTACAAATTTCTCACCCGTGGGCGTATTTTCGATTATGAGCCTCACAATATTGAAAATTTTGTACGACCATATTGCGTTGAATGTGATTTAGTGTGGGTACACAAAATTCTGCAAAAATTCTGCAGTAAATAGTCATTTTTATGAATGCTAAGTGATATTCGATATTTTAGAATATTTCCCGAGATTAAAGAGATAAAACAATGTCCTGAATGTCTACGTGAAAACACTTTTATATACGACTTTTTATTAATGATTGAAGATGGACATGGTTCCGAGCTTCCTACACTAGTCAATGGGCGTGACGCAGTAAGATTCTAAATTTAAAACGTCTGTGATAAATACTGAATATTATAATTCATCCCATACCCCTTTTTTTTTATTTTTTCAAGGTCAGATTTCTAAATGGCATTCTACCAACTAAGTATGTTACAAGATTTTTTTTGTCACAGCGCGTTGGATTTGCTTAAAATTATTACTTCCTAATCGGTAATTATGTATTGAAATCAGAGTTATGCAAGAGGAGACTTCAAGACAGGCATTCCTTAACTTGATTAGAAAGTTGCTAGCAAGTGTTATAGATCATGGTGAATCCACAGAATTTTTCGAATTCTGTGTTGAATCTTATTACGCCTCAGATAGAGAATATCGACTTTATAAACTAATTAATACTATCTTGGAAATCTAAAATTTAAATAAAGTATCAGTTTTGGTACAGTAGTTATAGTTATAGCTATGGTCTATATATTTGTTAAAAAAAATTTATATATTATATTTATTCTAATAGAAATGCATATATTTCATATACTTCTTGGTTTATAGTTTCTTTAGCTCATGCTAAGTGGTCAGATGGGAAAAACAGCGATAGGCCAAATTTATACAAACCAAAAAGGAAATTTAAGGCCATACATTTTGTTATAGAGGCCGGGCTATGAAAACCAATTAATTTTGCATGGCTAATTTTTTTGTAAATAAATTGAGTGAGTAAAGATAGTATCATTAGAAAGTTGTCTAGAGCGAAGCGATGATTCCTACGCTTGGTGATACAAACGTTATGTTTTTGATGTATTTTATTTAAAATATCAAGAAAGTAACTTTGAATTTCTGGGGAAAGTCTCCGGACACATACCATTCACGTGATTTGTACATACCGATTACCGGTATATGACATACCGATGAGTAAATATA